TGATGCAAAACAGCTCTTACTGGCCCCTTCTCGCATTGAACTCCTGGGACCCCTTTTATACCTGCACATCCTCACATTCCCAGGCCCTCCCTGCACCGCACCCCCCCACCCATCCTCACACTGTCCAAGAAGCCTTTGAGCTCAGACACGGGACTCTAACATTTAGGTGGCCATCTGGATGGCTTGCTTAATCAGTTTTCACCCTAAAAAGAATATTGATCTAGGTTTGCAGAAATCTCTTTTCAGGTAACAGCAGTACAAGTAGTAAGACATCTGACTTACAAAGCATTTAAAAACATAAATGCTCTTCTTCTCTTTGTATTCCAATTCAAGCGCTAACAGTCAGTTCCTTATAAAGTGGGCTAGCATATCAGGCCCAAGCAATTCAGAAGATGATAACCAGGCCAGGTGTGGTGGTGGATGGCTGTCATCCCAGCACTTGGGAAGCTGAGGCAAGAGGATCCCTGTGAGTTTAAGGCCAGCCTAGGGTACCTGGTGAGTTCAAGGCAGGACTGAACTATACTGTGCTATCCTATTTCACCTCCACTACCCCCCAAAAGACAGAAACAAGAAAAGAACTATATGCCTCCACATAAGCACAAGGAAAAGGAAGAAAAGATGATCATTTTGCCCTGTAAACAAAGATATTCAGTGTAGACAGTGTGCTGTACCTAACTGAAATTACCTTTAAAATAAATCCCTGCCCTCTCCTCTCTCTCCCTCTCTCTCTCTCTCTCTCCAGCTGGACAAAGTTCTCTCATGATTCTACTTTGGCTTAGAACACAGGCTTTGCCTGGTGCCGCTCTGTCGCCAGCCTCCTCTCTGAACTCCCTGTGGGGTGTTCATGAGTGTTGGAAGCGGCTGGAGCTGGAAAGGGGTCTTATGAGTAAAGGCAGGACAGAGCCAGAGTGTCTGAGGCAGTCAAGCTACCTCAGTCTTGAGAAAAGCTTCCTGCCTGGACAATTCAGTCATTAATTGCTAGGCAACCTTGCCTCTCGTGATACTAACTTTGCAAGGGTATAAATAAATGCCCCTACTGTGGTTGTTGGGTCCTCTTACTGGTATACCAAGAGATCAACAAATTCCCTACATTTGACACCTGAACAGCACATCTGGTCAGACAGAATAAGTGGGCAGTGGGTATGCTTCCAGACAGCATGCAACTGGGTATGACGCACATTTGTGAGAGCTAGTATTTAGTGCTGGAGTGCATGGTACTGGCACATTGGGTGTCAAGTGTGGGGATGGAAGCTCATTAGGGCCAGAAATGGGTTCACTAAGGGCAGAGAGATAAAACAAGCTTAAAGAGAGAAACAGGCTTAAGAGAAGCCAAAAGGAGAAATGTATATTGATTTTACTAGTAGGTAAAAATGGGCAAGCAGATTCTGAAGAACCACAGATGTTTATAGATGTACATAAAAATGTTTGTTTTTTCCTGGTTCCTGTGTTTACGTTGCTTTTCTGGATTGCAGTTAGAAGGGGTTTTACAACCACTAAGGATTCAGCTAAGAAGTGTACTTTGAAATGAAGTCCCGAGCCCAAACGGGACAAGGAGAGGAGGGCCATAGCGACACAGATAGAGCTTAAGCCCTCTAGCTTTGCTCAATCAGATGAAAAAGGAAAAAATTATTTTAAGTTGGGCGTGGCTAGATCCAAGCAGTGCCAGGGGGAGGGGCACTAACCAGGCTCAGAGGAGCCCCTTGCTCCAGTCCTAGGCAGACCCAACTGGGATTTCCCAGCCACCTGCACGTCTGTGCACCTGGTCCAGTCACAGCTGCTGGAGCACCACCAACTATAAAGGTGTACCTGGAAGCCAAAGGGTGGGACACGATCGCCGCGCACCCTGGCTCTCCCTGCTGCTGCCGCAGCCATCACTGACATGGCTGTGCACGCTTTTGGCACCTGGGCTCAGAATCAGGGGGAAAAAGTGGGCATCCTATGGCCAGACTGGGAGCCCAGAGCAGGAGTACAACCGGTGCACATCGCTTGGGGAGGGAGAACATGGGCGAGGGAGCCCATTCCCTGTGCTAAGACAAGGAAGCTGCTGTTAGCAGCTCGCCCAGCCCCGAGGTGATGGAGCGGAGGCTGCAGCCAGAATCAGGAACAAAATTTTGTTTGAATCTTCTGACTCTCTATTGCTTAAATCATCATTCTTTCTTTAACAAAATTTAAAAAATTATATTTTCAAAAAGGATCCAAGGGTTTTGGATCTTCTGACACCTACTGGGTTAAACAAATTAAACAAAATCACCCTGAGATGGAATTGACTACTGAAGAAAAAAAAGCCTCACAGAGGATAGAGCGAGTTTTAAAAGAGAAGGCTTTTACATTTTCCCTTTAAAGCAATTAATTTAAAAAGCTATTTCCATCCTCAAGATAAAAAGTTTGTCTTTAAGCCGGGCATGGTAGATCATGCCTGTAATCCCAGCACTCAGATGGCTGAGGCAAGAGGATCATTGTGAGTTCAAGACCAGCCTGGGCTATAAAGTGAGCTCAAAGCCATCCTGAACTCCATAGTGAGATCCTATCTCAAAAAGACAAAAAAAGAAAAAAAAGAAGTTTGCCTTTAGTTAAAAATAATCATATTTCCTAAGATGTACAACATTGGAGATATTTAAAAGATTACTTATAAAAAACATAATTCCCATAAATAAAAACTTTGCCCTTTCTCTCAAAAAATGTATATTTCAGTGATGGCTTTGGTCTTTTAGAGTTATAGTCATAAACTTCCTCATTTTAGATTGTACAGATAGTAAAACTATCTTGTTTTATTTATAGTTTTCTTTTTGACATCATATACAGAATATGCTGCTGATTTAAAAGGTTTTGTAAGTCTTTGGTGCTCTCATGATTCCTAGTGATGCTGATTGCCTGTTTCACATTCCAAAATTAAATTAATATAGAAAAGCTTTAGTATTTTACAAATAGATATAAAAGTTTGGAGTACAATCTAAAAGCAATAGAATTTAAATAGTCGCTTGATTTTGACATCCCATTTGAATGGTGACAGGCCTAGTGGTGGCCTCCAAAAGGGTACAAGCTGTGATAACCTTTTCGTATTTGGGTCAACTTATCCAACAAAGACAATTTTCCCCAAATTGTTCAGATCAATCTAAAATGATTTTTTTCAAACTTTATTTGGTAAAATTAATTAGCTCCATCTGGATTTTGGGCTAATTTCTCTGGTGTTATTAATTGTCATTATCCTTCAGACAGGTTAATTCAGTTTGCTTCTGTTTTCACAGATGGGTCATCTTAGGTTATGTGAGGCTATATGACAGCTTCCTCTTCCAAAAAAAATAGGATACAGGTTTCTCACTGTAAGATCAAAATTAAATTACAAAAACAAAAGGGGGAATCATTCCCTCCCACTTTATGTAGCAACATACACTATTAAATTTTAAAATTTTATAAAAGATGGAAGTAAAATGGCAGAATGACAATTCAATCTGGTAAAGCAAAAAAAGCTAACTTGGGGCCAGGATATGTTTGTGTTTTCTAGAGCATGGTGTTTGGCTGTAGTATCAATCCAGATTTGAGAAAGTTGACAATGATGAGGCTAGATTTGGCCTGGGGCCTACTGAAGAAACTGACAAAATGGAAATCTAACCTCTAACTAAGTGTCAGATTATATAGAGATAACTGAGCTGAAAGTTACCAGTATTCTTAAAACAGAATAAAACACAAAATATGCATATTCTTTACAGATAAAATATTCTATTCCTTCTAAATTTTTCTGATGAGATATGTTTACTAATTGACAACAAAATCTGACTAGTCTATTTGTAATTATAAATTTCTAAAATTATAATAGAGCTACTATAGTTCAATTTGGTCAAAAATATATTTGAGTGCACTCTGATTTTATAAAGATGTTTATTTGTTTGTTCTGTGTACTTGTTATTTGTCTACTTATCTGTCATTCTGTGAACAGCTGTTCCCCTTTATTTTGAGTTCAACAATTTTTCTTCCATCATTTGATCATAATACAATTTGGGTTATAGATTTAAAAGCATGCCTTCCTTGGAGTTACCAGCTGGTCTAAGTGATATCAAAATCAGCTTTCTCATAGCTCATCAAAAAATTTAAAATAACAGAAATTCCTTAAGGTAAGGAGAAATTACTGGGCAGAACTGCAACTGATGAACAGAGGACTGGCCAGCCTTTGTTCATTAATAAGGAGTCCCAAGCGATTTCCATAGTCTCTTGGGAGACATCCCAATAATTTGGTCATTTGGTCAAAAGGTAAAGTCTTCCAGGAAAAATTATAGTAAAGTTTTCTCATAAAAGATGCTCCTGACACAAAACTATGCTAAGAAACAAAGGTTTTCATATGTGTATGGCAATTCTTTGGTGTTAATCTCATGGTGTATTAAATGTATTCATGATTCCAGATGTACAGGTCTTCCAAAATGTAAAACAAATACTGCTTACTGTGATAAGAATTTCCCTCAGATTCAAACCTCTGCCTTTAACAAAAAACTTTTTATGTGTATCCCACTAAAGGACAATAAATTAAGTAAAAGTTTCTTATGTATTAGATAAGGATGATTGGTTAAAAGGGTTATGTTATGTCAAAATGGAAAATTAGGTATGTTACAAAATGTCGTTATGATTGTCATGCTGCAATGTTATGTATGGTTTTGATTCCTAAATTTCTGTGTAAAAATATGTAATTGTTGCCTGTTAACATTCTGTAAGGATTTAAATATTAGGATATCCATGGTTGTCAGAAAATAATGGTTCCATTTCAAGTTGTAAGGTGCTTGATATTCAGATAAGATAGTAATGTTAAGCTTAGTGCCTCTATTACAATATAATGCCTTTAATCTTCTCTTCTGGATTTTTAACAACTGAGATTTGGAAACCATAAATTAGAGAGATAGCTTGGGCTAAGAGGTCAGCCAATATTATGTCTCTAGCCCTCCAAGGTCAGTGAGGACTCACAACATAAGAGAACCTCTGCTGTGACGTCCTTTAACTCTGTTGAGTCCCTGATTTTGTGGTCAAGGAGATTATGGGACCACAGAGCAATGTGATTCATGATGTATAGTGTGCCTAAGGAAAGTCACCAGAGAGAAAAGTATCCCTCAGGCTTTTACAGAAAGCAACTTGGTCAAGCAATGGCCGTGACTCATCCAGATGGCTGATACTGACAGAAGATCTAGAGGTGCTGTACCTGGTTCCAAAGTGATTCCTGAGGTGACTTAACTGGCCTTGATAGATAGCAAGAAATTGAAATTGATTAATACAGGTCTCACTTTAACTTGATCTTAAACATCCAGCAGAAAAGTATAACCACAAAATGTGGAAAGGAATGCCATGGTAATATGTTAGCTATAAAAGGTTCGAATAAGCAACAACTTTTGACAACTACAGCTAGACTGGTAACTGACCACTGTTATGGATTTTGGACTATATTCTCCAAGCGTAGATTTTCCACCTTCAAATAAACACCCATCATTTACAAAACAGAGAAGGGAGAGATGTTAGGAGCAGCTGGAGCTGGAAATTGGTCATACATGTGAGGGCAGGACAGAGCCAGAGTGCCTCAAGCAGTCCAGCTATGTCGGTCTTGAGAAAAACATCCTGCCTGGATAATTCAGTCATTAATTGCTAGGCAGTCTTGCCTTACTTGATAGTAACTTTGCAAGAGTATACATAAGCACCCCTACTGTTATTGTTGGGACCTCTTATCCATCAGGTAAGAGGTTGCCTCTACCTGACCCAGCTCTTGTCTATTTTTTCCTCATACCCACCCCTGTTCCTCCTTGGGGCACACTGACAAGTTCCCTATATGTGGGGTGGGGTGTGGTTTTTTGAGAGAAGTGCTTTTTTCATCACAAAACATGTGTGGGGCAACAGTAGAAGAACTTGTCTGTGTGCTTCAGTTTATCCTATCAGGGTGCAGATTATGGGCATTGTCCTGGTTCGCATTCCCAGGGGAAGAAGACCGTGCTGCAGGGATCTGGGGTGAGGAGGGAGAAGCATCTGCGGCTTCCAGCACCTCCTGCTTTAGGACCAGACACCATCGGTCTGCACCACTGTCCCCAGTTATACTGGTGGCAGTGTCAGCATCCATTTCTGGCTCTACACGGAAAAATACTCCTCTGCCTGCAGTCCTCCCTGGTACTCACCCCAGATTGACAGTTTCCTTCCAAGGGGGCAGTACCAAGTCCAGGGAGCCAGTATTGAGTCCAAGGAGCCAGTACCAAGTCTGGGGAGCCAGTACCAAGTCCAGGGAGCCAGTACTGATCCCAAAGAGTCAGTACTGAGTCCAAGGAGCCTGGGTAACATATTCCAGGGAGAGGGCTGGTGGGAAGTGTGGGATGGATACAGGCACCCATTTAGGCAGCATTTTTATCTTAGGCTTTGAAGATTTTGCTACTGAACATCAAATTTCTCTTCTTTGGCTGTTTGGCTATATATTGGTTTTTTTCTGATGTGAAAAAGGGTTTCATCTCTGCTGTGAAAACCAAGCACAGACTGCAGTCACAGACACCTCTTCTTGTGGGAACCATATTTTCCCACTATTATGCAAAGAGCCTGCCTCTGCTCCTGTCTGAGGAGACCCCTACACAGCAGGAGTCTTTCCCTAAAACTATTTCCCCTACCTTCTCCATTCCACTGCTTTGCATTTCATACACGCTACCGCAGGCAGTTGTCATTATTTGTCTTGCTCCCATGGAAATGCATTTTCTGAGCGCTCCCTGTCACTTGTTCTGATCCTACTGTTTGTCAAAACATTGCCTCTGAAGTTGCCTCCTTCTCCAAGAAGCCAAAAATATATAAATATTTCTCATCACCTACAAGTTCATCCATCACAAATCTCACCGGGATTTGAAATTAGGGCGACTTGGGGTTTTTGTTTCCATGAGGGTGATTCCCATTGTAACACAGTGAAGGAATTATAGGATTCAAAGATCTCCCCCTTGAACCCGGCATATTAAAAAATGGTCACAAAAAGCTTACTTTGCTGTGTGCTCATGCTGTGTGCAACAGGAAGGCCAAACCCCACCTTTGGGAGGGGGGCAGTGGGCAGGGGGGAGGGGGCACAGACCCACAATCAGGAACTTCAGAATCGGGTCCTACGCTCACTGTGGTTTGGCTGCTCTGGGGCCAATGCACACACCTTAGCTGCGCTTTCTCGCCGGTGGCTCACTCATAACCTAAAGACGCTTCAGATGCCCCTGGAGTCACAGTTCCTTGGTGTTCTCTGCACCCTCTTTCCTTTGCCACCCTCTGCTTATGACCTGGGTGTGCTGGCGATGGCTTGTTAAGCTCATTGTCAGGCATTAGGTTAGACCCATATCCCGGAAGGTCAGTGCTCTGATGTGCCTCGTCCCCAGCCCTTCCATGGCTGCCCACTGCCTCCCTGGTGTTTTGGACTCGCCTCGGTGGAGCCACAAGCGCCCACTGGAGAGCAGTTACCAGCAATTCCCACACGCCTTTTAGAGGCTGTGAGGCTTGACAGATCGAGTCAGCTTGAGTAAAGAAGCTCAGTTAAGCCGGTTCATCAGCTCCACACCCTAGGATGTGGAAGGCCCACCCTAGGGAGGCTTGTCACCTGGACAGTATAAAGAGGGAAGGAAGAAGGACCGATCTGCTTCTATTTTTTTGGAGGAGCTCCAGTCTTTGCCTGCACTTTAGACGTCCTCTTCTGGCTTCCAACGCAGACTCTTCAGCTTCTGGCAAAGATCCTTCAGCTTCCAGCATAGACCCTTCAGCCTTCCATCAAAGACCCACCGGCCTCCTGATATGGACTTGCATGGACACTGCAGTGAGCTCCAGACCTTCAGCTGTATCCTTCGGTCTCTGGTGTGCAGACACCCTCTGCGCGCTTCCTCATCTGACTGTTGGTGGCCACTGTAAGCCAGTCTTGTAAACTGTAATATGTATTTGCATATCCTGTGCTGTATCTCTCTCTATAGTAAACTCTGATACAGAGGGCAGCCTGTTTGAACACTGGTTCTGCCATCTCCGTACTGTGCTCTGTGTCTTCCTATTTTCACAGCACGTCCCACCCCGCGTGTGTCTGTATTTTTCTTCCTTGCCTAATAAATGGTAATTTCCGGAGGTAAACATCCCCACTGCTGACCAAATATTCTTGGCCATGCGTCGTGTAAGATACTTTACATCCGTCATCTCTAGATTTTCCAGTAACATAAGGTGGGTGTGATGGGTTTCATAATGTTCTCCAAGTCTCACGGCTACCATGTGACAGCTCGTGTCTTAGTAATTTCACATACAAAATCTACGAAAAGCCCCACTAAATTGAATGAATGATGATGCTGGCACCTGCCCCACACACAGATGCCTGGCAAGTATAACCGGTAAACCCCCCTTCAAGGCAGCCACTCACTTTAGACAGTTGCCGCCAGGGGGCAGTAGATCGCCACAGCCCTGCCGTCCGATCTTTCGCAGGGTTTATAGAGCTCTCCAAGGGACCCAGAGATTCTCTGACAGTATCCTTATTTTAAGATCAAAAAATTGATGAAGTTTGCTTTACTTATTCAATATCTTTTTTGTCAGTAAGAGAGCAGAATTTTTTTTTTCTTTTTTTCTTTTTTTGTTTTTTTTCCAGTACCGGGAATCAAACTCGAGACCTTGCACTTGCCAGGCAGGCACTGTGCTGCTGAGCTAAATCCCCAGCCCTGAAAGCAGAATTTTAACCTGTATGTAAAACCCCCCAAAGTTAGTATTTTTTCATTTTTCTTCTCAGAAAGCTTATAAATTTGTAATTAAAAATTTCCCATATACTTTCAATATTAAAAATGTTCACTAAAGTAGTAAAGGTAATTATGATTTTAAAAGATGTTTTATAATAAGATTTTCATATTTTTTTTACTTGTTATATAATTTTCATGTTTAAAAAACATTAAGATGTAGGGAATGAAAAAAGGGATAAATTACCAGAAATCCCGACAGACAAAATAATAATTATTCCAGTATATAATCTCCCAGACGTTTCTTTACTCATCTGCAAAACCTATTGTAAAAATTAGGGTCACACCAAGACATAATTTTTTTAAGAGGAAAAAAACCCCAATAAAAACAATGATATGGAATTTCAAAACAAGATAATAGCCAAGACATAATTTGTAAATCTTAACTTCTATCTACAATTTTACTTTCATTGTCACTGGAGAATTTTTTAATGAGACTTTCTAGATCTTTTAAAATCCTCCCAACTTACCTAGTCTTAGTTACTAATAAAGAAATATCCTTTTGAGGATGCCATTGTTCTTCATATACTTCTTGAGGGAATTCTCTCAGTGAAAATTTCAGTTTATTCCTTCCATTCCCTTTCCAGTAAGAAAAATAGCAATATCAAAAAAAAAAAGAAAGAAAAATAGCAATATCAGAACACTGACAAAGCAACCCACCTCCAGAGCTCTCTCAACAAAAGACATGCCATTTTCACTTTCAAGAAGTGACTCCTCCCCCTCACCTCTCTTCTCAGTATGATGATTTATTTCTCAGCTGCGCAGCCAGGTCAGTTACCAAAAAAAGAGGATGCTGTTATGGGTTGGCCCCAGTGACCCTTAAACCTCTCATGGATCAGACACAGGGCTTTTGGAAGGTGACTGGATCACAGGGACATTATAGCTGACTTGCCCTTAGGAGGTGGGAACAGATTAGAGGCAGTCACTGGGGGGCGTGGCCTGGAAGGACGCATCTCCCGCCCTGGCTCCTCCTTTCTGTCTCTCCTTCTTAACCGCCACGAGGGGAGCAGCTCTCCTCTGCCAGGCCCTTCCACCTCGGAGCCAGCAGGCTAGGGACTGTAATCATGAACCACTCTTTAAATTGCGAGTGCTGGGTATTGCGTGTCCACCATGAGAAAATGACTAAGACAAACACATTTTGCATTAATACACAGACAGTTAAGTGCTTTAAATACCTAATCATGGATTACACTATTCTTTTTATGAGAATGGTTACAGGTTTGCATTTTGCATGTGTGGATTTTGCATGTAAAGTTTTTCTTCATACCTACAGGTGCTCCTGAATCTGCAAACATGACTACCATTATTGTAGGTGAACTTAGCCCCTATGATTTCTACCCTTTGCAAGCCGAAGCTCTGATGACTGAGTCTCCCACAACTGCTTCCAGGGCACATGGCAGAGGCAGGGAAGCACAGCTGGTGCAAGATTTTGATGTTCAGGGCTAGGGATTTAGCTCAGCATCACAGCACCCACCTGGCAAGCGCGAGGTCGTGAGTTCAATTGCTGGTACGGGTGGGGTGGGGAGATATTGATGCTCTCCACCAGAAAGCACTGCTGGGGCTAAACGACAAACAAGAAATAGGTGCCCCGGTGTCCTTGAATAGATAGATAAGCCAAGGGGACTGGGGTAGCAGCCCTGCTGGGAATGCTCTCCGTGAGAATCTGGGCTCCTCCCTGCACGTGTACTTATGTAATTATGCCTGTTATGTCCAACGCTCTTTAACTCCAGACTCTGGTGGAGGCACTTGACAACAGGCTCAGAGCCTACATAATCCTCAACCTTCCACCATTTTTGTTTTTTTAGAAAATACAGGGAAAGGAAGACAGGGTGATAATCTTCTGACAGGTAGTATGGAGGTGGCTGGGTGGCAGGTAGCACTCTGCAGATGAGGTACTTTGAAAGGTAAACCTTGAGCCTCAGCACCCTGTACCCACTCATTTGGGGACCCACTCGGGCCAACCGTTCAGTGCTCCAGTGTGGCTGCATCTGCACATAGCCGCAAAGATCATTTGTGCATCAGCTGGTCTGCAGGAGCCTTCGCGATGATTGTCCTCTGACGCCCACAACTCCAAGGACAGCCGTGGACGGCAGGCAGCGTTCGGGAGTGAGGCGGAAATGTCAAGCTGGAGGGAAGCTGCGTGGCTTCCGGTGGGAAGTTACTCAGACTCACAGGGTGGTTACTGCTGTTCAACCTCCAGTTGATGTGAAAGACACAAGGTGCAGCCTTGCAAATGAAAACGATGGTTCTCCTCTGCCATAAAAAAGGACTGCACCTTTAGCAAAGGATGTTTCTTTCATTTCTTTTTGCCACCATCTGAGTAGATGGCTGGAATTCCGCTCACCCAAAAGAGTGCAGGAGCCAAGCCTCATTTGCACATGGCCCTCACCTCCTAGACCAGCCTGGACCAGGGCCCCAGCTAAAGTGCACTGACCACTGAATGAGTAATGGATGTAGTCAGTTAGCCAGTCATGCAGCGATGAGAAAATCTTAGTTACCCTGCTTGTTCTGTATGCTTTGAACTTTCCCAGTGCTTTGGGATTACTTTGGAGGTGCTTCTACCCTTGTTGAGATGACACTGAATTCGTTTTCCTTTTTTACTTTTTATTTATAATTGCAAATGCACACATGAAAATATGAAGAAAGAGTCCAACTGAACAACCAGATCTTTCACTTTAAGAAATTAGAAAAAGGGCAAACTGAACCAAAGTAAGCAGAAGGGAGGAAATAATAAATATTAAAATGAAAATAAATGAAATTGAGCTAGAAAAAAGCAGAGAAATCAACCAAATTTTAATTCTTGAGCATATCAATGGAATGAACAAAGCTTTGGCTAGCCTGACCAAGAATGAAAGAAAGAAGACTCAAATTATTAAAATCAGAAATGAAAGAGGGACATTACTGTCACTGGGAGGCCAGGTACTAACACCAAAAGTCCTGACCACCACATTTTTCTGTTTCATTCTGTGAGACTTGATGGCATAAACAGTTCCATTTATGATGACATAAAAAAAAATATGGAAAAATACATTTTTTAAAAAACAGACACTTGTATACTAAAAACCACAAAACACTACCAAAAGTTTGCAAACTGGACATCTCACATTCATCTTATGTTGGAAAATTTAATATTGCTGAGATGACAATACTAACCAAGTTGGTCTAAAGCTTCAATGTAATACTTATTAAAATCCCAGCTGACATGTTTTGAAAAATTGCAGAGCTGATTCTAAAACTTGTATGGAACTAAAAATGACCCTAGAGTACTCAAAATGATCTTAAAAGTTTTTTTTTTGAGACAGGGTGTCACTAGTTTTAACTCATTGTGTAGCCCAGGCTGGTCTTGAACTCTGGGCAATCCTCCTACCTCAGCCTCCCAGGTGTTGGGATTACAGGCGTGCACCACCATGCCTGGCCAAGAGAATACTATTGGAGGACTCACACTTCCTAATTTCAAACAACACAAAGCTATAGTAACCATGACAATGTACTACTGGCATAAGTAAAAACAGATATCAATGGGATAGGATTCAGATGCACAAGTAAGCCCTTGCCATTTTGATTGACTGATTTCCAACAAGGGTGCCAAGACAACTAAATGGGGGAGTAATAGACTTTTGGATGAATGGTGCTTGGAATAATGGAATAAACAAATGCAAAAGAATGAAGTCGGGCCCCTACCTCACACACACCCTATACAGAAGTAAAAGTGGACCAAAACTCTGAATGTAAGAGTTAAAATTATAAGACTCTTGATGGAAAATACAGATGCAAATCTTTGTGACATAGACTATTCAGTGGTTTCTTATCTATAACATCAAAAACACAAGTAACCAAATTAAAAATAAACTGAACCACATTGAAATTTTTTGAAAATTATGTTTCAAAAGAGATCATCAAGAAAATAAAAAGAAAACCATAACATGAATAAAATACTTGCACATTATAGATCAGACACTGATTTTAAACCCAGGTAAAGAACTTTTGTAATTCAAAAGCCCTAGCCAAATAACCCAATTTAAAAATGGGCAAATGACTTGAATAGATTTTTTTACTAAGAAGATATGTAAATAGCCAAAAAAGTATATGAAAAGATACTTAATGTTATACCATTAGAGAAATGCAAGTCAAACATAAAATAAGACACCATTTCTCACTTACTTAACTTTGGTGAAAAAGATAGATAATAACAAATAGGGGCCAGCACCTGCCTGGCAAGTGCGAAGTCCTGAGTGCGACTCCTGATACCAAAAAAATATATATTGGTAAGGATGTGGAGGAACTGAAACCTTACAGATTGCTGGTGGGAAGGAAAATGGTGTAGTCGCTTTGGAAAAGGCTTC